GAGTGGTGTATGATGAGTGGTGTATGATGAGTGGTGTATGATGAGTGATGTATGATGAGTGGTGTATGATCAGTGGTGTATGATGAGTGGTGTATGATGAGTGGTGTATGATGAGTGGTGTATGATGAGTGGTTGTATGATGACTGGTGTATGATCAGTGGTGTATGATGAGTGGTGTATGATGAGTGGTGTATGAACAGTGGTGTATGATGAGTGGTGTATGATGAGTGGTGTATGATGAGTGGTGTTTGATGAGTGGTGTATGATGAGTGGTGGTTGAACAGCTGTTGAATGTCCGTAACACGGAAGTTTTGCACACTAAACTTCCTTTGATAATGGTAAACTGTGGTAAGGAAAGAAGTCAGTGTAAGTGGAAATGGATAACATCCAAACCTAAGGCCTTTAAAGCTGCCTTCTCCAAAAGGCATTCTCTTTGAGTGAACACGTCTCCAAAAGTAAAAAGCGTCTCGTTTTTGGCCGCAATCACATACTCCACCCCTTTTGCCCTCTCCACGCCTTACAACAAAATACTTGGACAATGACTATGATATTCACAATTTTGGGAAGGATTTTCCTCTGTCATCCTTGGTCATTAGTTCTTTTGGACAGAAAGGCAACTGATGGCAACTCCATCCTGCGGTGTGTCAGGCCTTGCATGGAGGACCTGCCAACTACAGCATTGGTAGAAATACGCCCCGATACAAGCAGCCTTGTCCGCAAAGCCTGTGCTTGCGTCTGGCTAGTGACTAGTGCACTCTCTTTTTCTAAAGGTCGGATCTGTTTCGCAGCAAATGCTCCTTGCAAACATGTGAAAAAACCGATTTGATACTCAACGACTTGGACAGGGACCTCAATACCGTAGTATATGACAGTCCCTCCTTACGAGAAGGATATGGAGTCCTATGGAGTCCTTACTAGTCACTAATTAGTCCTATATTGTTCTATGTACTGCATATTATTTTTGTTGTATGACGTTGTTTGCGTTGGAACCATCATGGGGGACTTCACTCCTTGTTACTGTTGAAGGCAGACTCGACCAAATCTGATGTGTCTGGGTCCTAAGACTTGAGCAAAAATGCGCAGGGCGGCAAGCGTGTGGTGCCCTTCCCCTTGATCTGCTGATCTGACAGGATCACATGATCCTTGACTCGATGTTAAAGGCAAATTGAGATGTCTTGGTTTACAAGCACTTCATACTTGATTCCCACCTGCGCCAGGTATGTTTCAAAAGACACCTGGCTCTCAATTCCGCAGTCCTGAGTAGCAGAAGCATGGCAAAATACGGCAAGACTACGTGGTTGAGTTTTGTGCAAAGGCATGCTGTGAAAGCTGCCGGTGTCCTCCCTGCCTGTAACATGTGTATGAAGCACATACTGATGTCTATTTTTTGAGAGTCTACTGCATTGCCCACTAGCATTTGCCGATTTCTTCTGTCTTTCTTCCACAACAATACTAATACAACTCCTTCAGAACGCGGCAAAGCATGAGCAAATGAATAGAATGATCAAATTGACAACAATTGAAAACTAGCGATCTCCACCCCAGAAATAACAGCAAGTATGGGAACACAGTTTACTGTTGAACAGCATAGAAAAATGTCACGTACGTGAAGGATATATAATATATATATATATAATTGCTTGGTTGGGTTGATTTGAAGAGTGAGCATGGGTAACATCACTGCGGCAGGCCAGCTTAGTTGACTGCACTAAGAACCTCATCTGAAGTAGTCATGTGGTGAATGATCCACCTTTCTACTAACTCTGCCTCAACCTCCCATTCAGGAGCAGGTCAACACATGCAAAAAAAGACTTCAGCTGCAGCTTGCCTCTTTCACTAGCATGCGAGAGTTTGCAGGGGCAAGTAGCCTGCGAATGCAAGCCAGTAGTTGAACGGAAGGATGTATTGTATCGCCCAAATATGAGGGAAAGAACCAACGTGTGTCTTTCTTTCAGGCCGATAGCCAGAGGCCAGAGGGTGGGAAAAAAAGGTGGTCAAGAGGAAACAATACACACAAACGAACCAGTCCTTCTAGACTGCGAGATCCGATTCTTGAATTCACAAAGTGGATCGATCAATCCGAGTGGGAATGATCGGTTGTGCTCTGAAGTAGCAAGGACGCTACTAGGGGCTCCTGGCCTTACTACTAGGAGCAAGGACGCTACTAGGGGTTCCTGGCCATACGACTAGTAACAAGAAGCTATTAGAAACAATAAATAACATAGAATTAAGTTTACTTAAAATTTGGCTTTTATTCTCTTGGCCCACAGACAGCTGCTGCAGAAGATAGGCGGCTTGCAAGAAGCAGGATGGCAGGATGTGAGCATGATATTATCGGGAACGGGGAAGGTTGCATTATCTCAAACGATCAGCATGCGGGAAAGCTACAAGTGGCTCCTGTCACCTTCCAGCTTCAGACTGCGCCTGATTCGTCGGCCATTCACTTCGTACTCTGCATCGCTGATTTGAGTCACAACCTGACATTCTATTAAACATGTAGACCAAAGGTCCCACCTGGCCAAGCTTCCTCGATTGAACACCATTGTTTCCAATCCCCTGAATTGAGGACCCAGCAGGCTTCCCACCTTTGAAGTTCTTCACGATTCTCCACCTCATACTTGGGGGTGTGCAAATTCGGGCATTCTGCACAAATGGCTCCGAAATCCCCTCTCCACAGCCCAAAGATCAGTCCAATTGCCCACACAGCAAACCAACAATTGGACTTCCAAAAAAACATGATAACATGCCAACTGAAAGTTGTGCGGCGTTGCATCTTGAACTCCAAAATTGAAGCTTCTATTGAAGGGTCTTAATTTTAAGGTTGCGGTCCCTTGGGGTGGGATTTTGGTGTTCAAACGTTGGCCCTTTGGTACTTGATAAGTGGCTTCTGGGAAGGGCTTGTTGTGGGCCGTAAAAGTTTGAAGACTCGGCATAAAAGGATATGCGGGGGTGGACAAATGATAAATGTATATAAAGACGGATTGATTTGGCAAGGCTTAGTCTTGTTGTTCAGAATAGCAGCCGAACCTCTTTATACCAAATGCGACGATATATGGTTAGTGTATATATTCTCAAAAGCATCAGCAGCTTCGTATTGCATATTGTCTGTCTCTACCTCCATGTGCAACCGTGCGCGATCTTTTGACAACATACTGTGTTGAAAGGAATTATCAAGGATATTGCCGGTGCACAGTGTATTTATTCCCAAGCTTCCTGAGCGTTTCATTATTCTGCGTCTCGTGATGCAAATGCAATACTGATGAGGTCACAGCAATGGAAGGCTATATAAAACAAACATCAACAAATGATGGCTGTGAATCATACAAGTGCAAACTTGCCGTTCAAAGAGTTACAAGTGACGCAGAAATCTAGAACCTGACCTAGATGAACTGATCTGAATTAATCCAGAACCAAACATTACAAAAGGAAAAAACACCAAAAGAACCAATAAGTCAACACAACCAAAACACGATTTGGGGACTATTCCAGAATCCAGAGTAGTTGTGGACTTTTTTCGGTTTGTTCTTTGAGTTTGTGTGGGTTGTCCGTTCGAAGGCATGTGAGAGTGAATTTCACCGACATTGTTTGAATTGATTAATTCATTGCACGTGTTGTGCTCCCCGAAGTTTCCCTCTTCAGATTCTCAGATGCGCCTGGAGCTTCCTGCCGACGAGTCTTGTCAAAACACGTTCAATGCAACTTTTGCCGTGCTGAGCCGCACTTGAATCGTCCTATGAGTGACCCCAGCAATGTCATTGCAAATCGAAGAGCATGTACATGCATTTTCCCTGCAAGGGCTGCCTCGAACTTCCCACATTGTAACTAGGGCAGCGTGGCACTGAAACTCATCCCAAAGTTGCTCCTGTAGAGAACGTGTTGAGATGTGCCATTCTTTAAGCCTCATCTTATATTAATATTGATCTGGGCAAGAAGAAGGAGCGAGAGGAAGAAGAAGCCTCTTCAGTGACAGTCCTCTTACCAAGTCCTTCGTCACTTCGTCATCAAACAAGGAGATTGTGTTCAACGCAAGCAAACCCTTTCGATCCAGGTTTTGTTGATGACACGGACTGAGCAGGAAAGCCGTCTGCCTCTTACGGCGAGGGCGGTGGTAGAGGGAACTGCCCTAGTTGATCGCACTCTCCCAATGCACAAGTGGTGCCAACGAATCATATCAATCTGTTTGCAGGACACTATTGAACAATAGACATTCACCCACAACATTTCATAGTTCACTGTCACTGATTAATTGCTGTGTCTATTGTTATAAGAACAAATCCTCTGTGAAAACTTGGGCTTCCAGCACTTCTTGGTTGATGTCGCTGACATTCACATGTCTCTGCTGAAGATGCTGCGCCTCATCCTCCTGGCCACGAAGTTCTCCGATTCAACATAATTCAAGTAGTGAACATGGAAGACAACAGCGAGGAGTCAAAAAGCAAGTCCTGGCAATGATGTGCCTTCGATGTGCAACGAGGTGTACCTCCAGCAACATCGTAGACTGGTGCCTATGGCTTTGGGGAGCAAGCAAATTGGCGAACACTGAGAGGATCTGCTCGAGCCAAGCGACTTTGTTCTGCGACAAGCAAGTGCGAGCGACTGCTTAAATAACCCAACTTCACTGTCGATTCAACACGGAACCAAGAACATGTCCTTCCGAACGCTGCAAACAAAGTGTCACTGTCTCAGCTGGTAACACATGTTGTAAGTGGCCTGCACTGAGCAGACCTCAGATTCCAAAGGCTAATATTTGAACTGCAGTATTGTTTCAGTGAGACTTGGACAATGGCATTTCGCCAATTGCTGCGACTTTGCTAGATACAGTTGCAAAATACATCTGGCATCTGAACGTAAGGGCTAGCAGCACATGTTGCGCTTCTGCAACACGACAACTTTGCACAGCTGCAAGTTATCATAACTTCAAGCAATATGAGCATGGTGCGTTGCAGCCTAAACCAAGAAGTATCGAGACTTTTGTTCAACACGATATACAGTACTGGATTGATTTGGATTCCCGCTATGCCAAATTGATACCATAACATAAGCCATCAGTAGCAAGTGTGATTGTCGGTTGTGCCTACGCTCTTGATTCATCCTTTGGCATGCCATGAACATAGCTTCCCACAGCCCGGAACTTAGTAGGATTTTTTGAACAAGCACAAGCAGAAAGACTGGTGATTCCATTAAGGACTCATGGCATATTCATCCACCCTTAGAATCGTAATTACAGGACATGTTCAAACGCGGCACTTCTCTGTGATATAAGATCATTGTAGTTATCACTAGCCATCAAGGCCGGCCTGTTATCATCAAGCATAATCTTTGATCTGATTCAACTTGGGTGAGCCTTTGGGATTTGAATAAAACTATGTCAGATCTACAAAACCTCAATTGATTTTTGCATGGATTATAGTTAACGTTATCATTCTTGGGGTTCACTATATCGTTTTCCACTGTCAAACACCTGCCAAATGGGAGCGGCTACACTTTTAAACCTCTACCTCAGCTTCTTCAAATGTGGTAGCTGACCACCTACACGCAATAAGCGATTGATCTTCTCATCCGCAAAAATTTATCTCACAAATCTGTTCACATCTGGGCCATCAATAATAAGAACATATTTCTGTTCAAAATGGTTATCCTTTAGATAGATATCGTTTTGGATCGTTTTGGTTATCGTTCAAAACATGGACACATCTTGGGAACATATTGTGGGAATTGACATGTTTGCGAGAAGGCCGAAACATTGCGAGAGTATGCCCTACACACATTTGTTAATATTAATTATACGGAAAACTTGAGGAATGGTGGGAGTTCATATCGTTTTGCAGGTCGAAGTGCAGGCGTTCAGTCAATCTCTGCTCCAATACTACTCTGTTCGATGGAGAGTTTAGCCAGTTGCTCTCTTTCTGCGCAGTGTTGGAGTTGGCTTACCAAAACATAAACTAAGCTGCGAACGTTGCTGGTGAGATCCTGTCTGGTTTTGACTTCTGAGCCTCAACTCCATTGAGTTTGTTCTATGTGATCAATGAATGGAAAACAAAACATTGGGATCGGAACAGTTCGGCAATCATCTGGCAAGCGGCAGCCTCGGTGAATTGAGTTCCGAGGTCTTTCTCTCTGCCTGTTCTGACGAAAGTCCATGCATCAAAGAATATGGGCCTGTGGTTTGCACAATGTAGTCACATGTCACATGCTCGATGTGTTCGAGGCTCAAACCACAAAACAGTGTGGCCAGGGCCGCCATGTCAGTAGAGATTCCATGCCTGCGACAAAATGTTAGCTGTAGATAGGTGCACCTCTCTCAAACCTTCAAGGCTTATTTGAAGGTGAGGGCGTTTCACCACACAACATGCCTGATTACCCAACAAAATCTGCTCAAACAAATGTGTTATATAAATATATATAATAGTTATATATATGTTGTGAGTAGACCATGGCTGGGAGCCCTTAAGGCCAGCGCGTCCCATGCGCTTCTGTCACCGCTTTCCTGGTGTCAGGGTGCATG